CACATGCAGAGGTATATATGCAACAGGAGAACAGTGATCACTACCTAGCAAGTGTAAGCATGCAGATAGGTATGTATATATATATATATATCATAGTACAGGCAAGTCTACAGCAAGTGCGGAAACGTAGGCACAAGGCCTAACAAAGTACAAAAGAACTGATGATCACCAGACAGAAGTGCCTTGGTGAAGTTATCAGCAGTGTTGGCCCGAGTGGCCACGTGAGCAAGACGAAGCTGACCTCGCTGCTGCAACTCTCGAGCCAGGAAGTAACGCAGAGCGATGTGCTTCGTTTTGTGCTCCAGTCTGTGCTCTTGACACAAGGCAATGGCGGCCTTGTTGTCGACGTACAGAACTGGAGGAGAACGAGGCCTCTCTCCCAGGTCAGTCAGCAGGTAGGTGAGCCAGCGTAACTCCTATGCAGCCATGGCTGTGGCGTAGATTTCAGCCTCACAACTGGAGCCGAGAACAGAAGAAGAGCGAGTAGACCGCCAAGAAATAGAGCCAGAGCCAAGGCTGAACGTGTAACCCTGTGACGACCGCTGCGTAGCCTGGTCGTCAACCCAAGACGCGTCAGAGTGTCCAGTGAGGACCAAGTCTCTCCGCCCTCCAAGCACGAGCCCCATGCCCGATGTACTGCACAGGTAGCGCAGTACCCTCTTTGCAGCATCCATGTGCACCTTTCGGTGCCGACTAGGAGCCACGTAGCGGGCCAGAAGGCCAAGAGGGTACGCAAGGTCAGGACGAGTGCAGTTCAACAGGTACATGAGGCAGCCCATTAGCTCTAGTTAAGGACCACTCGGCTCTACGGACTCGTCCGAAGGTGGAGCTGAGAGCGAGTGACCTGTAGCCAGAGGAGTGGACTGTGGCGAGGACCAGGTGAAGCCGAAGCGCTGAAGGACCTGCTGCACCATGTGTGACTGTGTCAGTGTGATGGTGCGGCATGCTCTGTCCCGGGTAATCTGCAAGCCAAGGTAGCTGCGCAGCTCACCCAGGTCAGTGCACGTGTGTCTCTTCTGCAGCTCCGACTTCACCAGGGCGAGAGCCTCAGTGTCAGCAGTGGCAAAGACCAAGTTGTCGACGTACACGAGGATGTAGAACGGCGGCAACGAAGTGTCGGTGCGCAGAAACAGCGACGGGTCAGCTGTCGAAGGCGCAAACCCAAGAGCCGCAAGTGTAGTCCTCAGTGTGTCGTGCCACTCACGAGGCGCCTGACGGAGACCGTAGACTGGCCGCCGGAGGCTCCACTGGGTACCAGGAGGGAACGACCTAGTGAAGCCAGGTGGGCGGCGCAGCCAGATCTCCTCGTGCAAGCTGCCCTGTAAGAAGGCTGTGCTAAAGTCCAGAGAGTGAAGCTCGTAGTCACGCTGAGCGGCAACGTGCAGCAGCACCCGAAGAGTGGTCATCTTCGGGGTGGGGGAGAAGGTTGAAAGAAAGTCGACTCCCTCTCGCTGACTGAAGCCTCGAGCAACGTAACGAGCCTTGAAGACAGGCGGAGAACCCGGCGGCCGCTTCACCCTGAAAATCCACGATGTTCGCCCTAGGAGGGGGAACCTTATCGACGTAAGTGCCTGTGAACTTCCAGGATGCCATCTCTGCGTCCATGGCTGTCTACCACTGAGAGGAGTACTCACCCGCGATCGCCTCAGCGTAAGAGCGCGGGGTAGGGATGTCTGGTGCATCCGGGTCTCCCTCAGGGGCAAGCAGCAAGGCCACGAGATGAGGCGCAGCAGCCGCAAGACACTCAAGGTCCTCCTGTCTGTCCTCAAGGACGTCAGTGCCAAGAGCACACTCACCCCTGACGGACGGAGGACAGACAGACTCAGACTCAGCAACAAGACGAGTGGCGTAGTCTAGACGACAGGCAGCAGCAAAGTCAACAAGCTCAACGACCCAGGCAGACGCAGCGGCAGACTCAGACGACGGGTCAATGACAACAGTGGCTAACAGACGCGTGACAGTAGGGTGGGCAGCACGAAACCGGTCAGACTCAGGGTCCGGAACGTCAGGTAGAGAGGACGCAGGGGGAGACGGCAGAGGAACAGGCTGTGAAGTAAAGGAAGCACGACGGACTACGAGGTGCGCACCGGGGACAGTCGGCTGACGCGGACGAGGAACGCGACGACCAGAACGACCAGAACGGACAGGCGAGACAGGACGTGACGCAGGCTCACGACGCTCAGCAAGACTCCCTGTCTGCTCAGTGTAAGGAGAAGGAGCAGGCAGCGGTGAGCCAGGCAGTAACGGAAGACCAGTAGAAGACGGGAGGCTAAGAACCTGGCGAAGCACAGAGTCAGGCGGTGGCTGAGACGACGGAGACGGCGGAGCGAAGAACAGGCGCGTCGGTGCAGTGCCACCAGCACCAGCAGCTCCAGCACCTCCAGTAGCTCCAGCACCCCTAGCGCCAGTACCTCCAGGACCAGCGCCACCAGCAGCAGCACCCCCAGAACCAGCACCTCTAGTCCCAGGGTCTCCAGCCTCAGTGTCTCCAGCAGTAGCACCCCCAGAACCAGCACCTCCAGTCCCAGAGTCTCGAGCCTCAGTGTCTCCAGCAGCAGCACCCCCAGACGCAGCACCTCCAGCCCCAGCAGCTCCAGTACCTCCAGTACGAGCACCTCCGGGACCAGCGACTCCAGCACCTCCGGAAGACAAAGTACCAGCACCACTCCTAGCTCCAGCGACATCAGCGGCATCAGTACCTCCAGCAGGAGAGCCCCGAGCTCCAGCAGCGCGACCCTGACGGCGACCGTACCACTCGTGCAGCTGCTGTGAGGTGAGAGGCACACGCGGACGAAGGCGGCCACTCCAAGGAGACCGCGCACCAGCAGTCGCAGTACCCTCAGGCGCCGCACCCCCAGACTCAGCACCCCCAGGCTCCTCACGCTCAGGCTCAGCACCTCCAGGCTCAGCACCCTCAGGCCCCTCACACGCAGGCTCAGCACCCTCAGACTCGGCACCCCCAGGCTCAGCACCTCCAGGCTCCTCACCTTCAAGCACAGCACCCCAAGACTCCGCACCCCCAGGCTCAGCACCCCCAGGCTCCTCTCGCTCAGGCTCCGCACCCCCAGGCTCAGCACCCCCAGAGACAGCACCCCGAGCAGGACCACCCCCAGCAGGACCTGAGTCACCAGTGACCTCAACAGGCACAGGCACAGGAGGGTCTACCTGAGAAACACCTGAAGGAGCAGGACCTGGCGCGGGGAGGGGGTCTACCTGGGAAGGACCTGGAGCGAGAAAGAGCGGCGGGGGGGGGGGGGGGGGGGGGGGGAGGGGCAGTGCGGTAGGGAAAGAGACGGTAAAAGGGAACTTACTCGTCAAAAGTGACGTCCTGAGACGCAAAGACACGGCGCGAGGTGGGGTCGTAAAACTGCCAGCCAGGCGCGTCAGGAGGAAAACCAAGGAAGACGCAGGGAATGGCGCGAGCAGAGAGCTTGTCCGCGGTGAGATCGCGGACAAAGGCACGAGCACCCCAGACCCGGAAACATGACGTATCGCCAACCTCCCCCGTCCACAGCAGTGTGGGCGAGGTCTCCGGCAAGGAGACACGGGGCCAGAGGTTGAGCTGATGCGCGGCGTACCGGACCGCAAACGGCCACAGAAAATGGGGAGCCACCGCATGGATCATGGAGGTACGAGCGACCTCCATGACTAAGCCAATGCGGCGCTCAGCAACCCCATTCCGCTGCGGAGAGGCCGGAAGCGTGAACGACTGGCGGATGCCGTGCTCCTCACAGAAGGCCTGCAAGAGGTCGTAGGAAAACTCACCACCTCTGTCAGAGTGCAGACGCAGGACAGGAAAGTCCCGCTCGAACCGCTCGCGGTTGTGGAGACGAACAGTGTGGATCCAAGGGATCAGAACAGCAGGGACATCCGCCTTGCGCTGCAAGGGGAAGACCGTGGTGTAACGCGTGTAGTCGTCGACGACCAGCAGGAAGTACCGCTCGCGGCCCTGCCCCTGGATGATGGATAGGCCGCACACGTCCAGGTGGAGAGATTGCAGCGGAGCCTCTGTGGGAGGGAACGAGGAGGAATGAGGAGCGGCGCGCTGCCGCCCCTCGACGCAAGGAATGCAGGGCGGCGCAGGCGAGGGAGGGAGGGCAGGCAGAGACCGGGGACCAGAGACCAGGGAGCGAGAGTGCATGCCACGAAGGCGAGGCAGGGAGGGGTGACCAAGGCGGTGGTGCCACAGGAGAGTGTCGTGCGACAGGCGGTGACACTCACACTGGGTAGCTACCTGAGCAGACGCGTACAGCTGGGGAGACAAAGGGGTGTAGCGTGATACAATTGTGAGGGTATACAGACTGGACCCAGGCACAAGAGTGAACGTGGCCAGGTGGCTGCCAGTCTTGGAGCACGTGAGGATCGCCACACGCTGTCCTCCAGGAGTCCAGGTGTCAACCCAATTGTCCAGAAAGATGGCGTTGCTCGCCAGGTTCGTAGAGAACGAGGGGATGTGGAGACCTGACAGCTCACCAGACGGGACCACCGGGCGCGGAAGCACTGTCGTGGCTCGTGCAAGCACTGGGCCCCCAGAGGGTCAACCAGTGAGACAGGGACAAGTGCAGGGAGGGGAGTGACTGTGGTGGTGTCGCGATAGAAACAGCGGGAAGCACCAAAGTCAAGTGTAAACGTGTGCAAGGCCTGAGCCGACGCAGTACCAGGGGGAGCAGACTCACAACCACCTAGGCTGCAGCCCCTATACCTAGATCAGGCGGCATACACGAGTAGCATTCACCCTCAGCACTACAGTCAATGCATACATGGAAGCAAGAATAGCATCATAGTCAAGATCAAAGATAGGAACACCACGCCTAAGCAGGTCTGCCCAGTTGGGCAACTCAGTAGCCGCAGGAAACTTGACGCGCCAGGCGTCGCTAAGCCGAGCAAAGCAGCAATACTCAGTGTGCAGACCATTGCATGGGCGACCAGCGCGGGGACCTGCGCGAATGATATAGGGGCAGTGACCAGGACCCCCAGACGCCCCACGCCCAGCATACCAGTCATGGAGCTGCTGGGACGAGGGGGTCTGGCGCTGTCGCTGCTGCAGCTGCTGTGGCTGCTGCTGCTGCTGCTGCTGCTGCTGCTACTGCTGCTGCTGATGCTGCTGCTGCTGCTGCTGCTGCTGCTGCTGCTGCTGCTGCTGCTGCTGCTGCTGCTGCTGCTGCTGCTGCTGCTGCTGCTGCTGCTGCTGCTGCTGCTGCTGCTGCTGCTGCTGCTGCTGCTGCTGCTGCTGCTGCTGCTGCTGCTGCTGCTGCTGCTGCTGTCCCTGGCCACCGCCGCTGCCACAACCACCAGCTCCTCCCCCGCTACCGCCGCTGCCACCGCCACTGCTCCCGGTACCACTGTCGCCCCCACCACCTCCTCCACCGCCTCTACCACCCCCACCGCCTCCACCTCCCCTGCCACCACCACCACCGCCCCCTCCACCGCAACCCCCACCTCCCCTGCCAGCCCCTCTGCCCCTGGCGCTGCGGCGCTTCCCACTAGGAGCGGAAGCAGCCCCAACCTCCTCAGCACCAAGGAAGTCGACAGCAGCAGCAGCAGAGGCGTAGGAGGGGGCAAGGGGGAGGGAGAGCACCCCTCAAAGAGGGGAGAGCGAGGAGTGCCACGAGCCGCACCTACAGCAAGGATGTTCTTCTGAGCTGCAAGGAGCTGCGTCTCGAAGTCGTCGACGGTGAGAGCGGTAGGGTCTAGAGCGAGAAAGTGGTCCCTGACTGAGCGAAGAGTGTCAGGGAGGCGGGTGACAAGGAAGTAGAGCGTAAAGTACATCGGAGGGGTGTTCTTGGTGAACGCATCCTTAAGGGCGAAACGAAAGCGAGTGTCACTAGCGCGCAAGTAAGAGATGAGGTCCTCAGCAGTGTGAAACGAGGACAGGTCGGGGAACAGGTAGGGCAGGATGAGACGACCTAGGGCTGCAGTGGCCGGGGAGGAGTAGCGCGCAACTACAGCGTCATACAGTGCCTTAGCAGTCTTGTGCTGGCTAAAATGCGCGCGCTCGGGGATCGGCAGATGATTGAAAATAGCGAGGCGCGCAGCAGCATCGCGGGTCTTCCACTGTGAGCAGTCAAGATCAAGAGCATCGTCAGCAGGAGCAACAGCAGTGCCAGACGCGTGAGCGAACAGTGAAACGCCATCTTTGGCTTCAGTCATAAGGAACAGTTGGAGGTCGTCGAGCCACACTGTGAACTCTATCGGGCTACCGTCCGGCTCAAACGCGAGAATGTGAGGCGTTGTCATAGTTGCAGTGCAGGCAGAGGCAGTAGGCAAGACTGTGCGCGAGGTCGCAAAGTGAGCGCGCAAGCAGCAAGGGTGGCACGCAAAGCAACCGCAGGCAGCACAGGCAGCATGGAAGGGAGCAGCAGGCCGCGTGCAGGCTGCAGCGGCTCGGCGCAAGCAGGTAGGGCGGCGCGCGGGCGGCTAAGTCGTGGCGCGGGCTGCGCGGGGCAGCAGCGGGCCGCGCGCAGGCTCCGCGGGGCAGCAGCGGGCTGCGCGCGGGCTGCGCAGGCTCGGCGCGGCCTGCGTGGGCTCAGTGCGGGCTGCGCGGGCTCAGTGCTCGCTGTGCGAGGCAGCAGCGCGCTCGGCGCGGGCTGCGCGGACGGTGCGCGGGGCTTCTACGGGCGGCGCGTGGGCTGCGCGGGCTCGGCACGGGCTTCGTGGGTGGTGCGCAGGGCAGCATCAAGGCGCGCGCGGGCTGCAAGGGCGATGTGCGCGGGGCAACAGCAGACAGCAGCCAGCAGGCAACAGACAGCAGACAACCGGCAGACGGCGCGCGCAGCTCAGCACGTCACAGTCATAGTCACAGTCGTGGGGTAGCGGTAGGTGGGCCCGAAAAAAAAAAAACGGTCCTACGGACCTACTGCTCTGAAACCATGTCAGAATCAAGAGAAGGGAATGATTGAACTAGATCAGAGTTGGGTACAAATATGAAACCCTAAAAGTTATGTACCCCATATTGGCTACCCCACTACAGCCTACACAAATATAACCTATATAGTTTGACACTCGTTGCTACGACAGCCGCGCCCTTCGTCACGACTGTGGCGACGTTTACAACGACAAACGCGCGACGGGTAGGGCGAACGAGCGGGACGACGCAGGTTGCAACGGAGGGTGCCATTATGAAAAAGAAGCCACAGGCTAGGATCGTAGCATGCTCTAATACCATGTCGAAAGCCTAAGTTGACTTAGGACTTGGGTTGAGGGTAGAACGAGAGTTACGAGAGGAAGGGGTCGAGAGATTAGCCAGTGAGGCTGATTCAATATTGAGTGAGGGTACAAATAGGAAAGAACAATCAAGAAAGGTGCACCACCAAATAGGAAAACACTATAACTACACTAACCAATCCTACAGGCAGTTACATATAGAAAATATTAACTTATATTTTCCGACGTGTCCACGCTCAAGAGCACTGGTGGATGGATGCCAATCGTGAGCGACTGAGTGAAGTAGGTGCTTTTCCCATTTATCAAGCCATGATTTTACCATAAAGTCTATACCCTCCTCGCTATGGTCTCTCACAGTGGCCATTTGACGAATGGTGTACTTAAAACCCTGTGTTCGCACATATACCATCATCTCAGGGTATGAAGTAATAGCTACCAGGAGAATGAATGATGATTATGTCAGAGGTCCACGGAAGATCTTCGATTAATCCTATGGTAGGGTTACAGGCACGTCGGCCTAGGGGGTTATGGGCGCACTCACCCGCTACATAAACAAGCCCTTTTATCCCAGTGGTTAGTGGCTAGGATTCTGACATGGTATCAAAGCGAAGGTCTCGGGCTCAAACCCCGGTGAGTGCACCTCGGGCATCCCAGTGCGAGGGGGTGTCAGAGGTCCACTGGAGATCCCCGATTGATCCTAGGGAAGGGTTACAGGCACGTCGGCTGGGGGATAAATGGGCGCACTTACCAAGGTCTGTGAGCAAGAAAGTCAACCAACGAAGCCGCGGCCATCGCACCGGCGTAAATCTCTGCCTCAGCAGTGGACGAAGCCACAGACGGCGACCCTGTGGACCCCCACAACACAGCTCCAGCGCCCAAGCTGAAGCAGTATCCCTGAGTAGACCGCTGGGTCTCCACGTCGTCGGCGTAGGAAGAGTCGCAGTGACCATTCAGCACAACTGGCTGTGTCCCTCCAAGCACAAGCCCCATGCCTAATGTAGTCGACAGGTTCTTCGCCACCCTCACAGTAGCTGTCCAGTCAACAGGACGGTGTCTCCCAGTCGCAACAAAGCGAGAGAGGATACTGAGGGGAAAGACGAGGTCTGGACGTGTACAAGACATCAGGTACATGAGGCAGCCCACAAGCTCTGCGTAAGGACCACTAGACTCAAATGGCTCGTCGGGAAAAGGGCCGGTGAGTCTATGGTCAACGGCAAGAGGAGTGGGCTGTGTGGTAGAGAAATGAAACCCGAACCGCCAAGGAACTGCTCCACCATGTGTGACTGAGTCAGAATGATGGTGCGAGCGGCTCTGTCCCTGGTAATATGCAAGCCAAGGTAGCGGCGCAGCTCACCAAGATCAGTGCACGTGTGTCTCTTCTGCAGTTCGGACTTCACCTCAGCCAGAGCAACCCTGTCAGCTGTAGCGAAAACCAAGTCGTCCACGTACATAAGAATGAAGAAAGGTGTGGGTCCAGAACGAACGAACAGCGACGGGTCGGCGGACGAAGGACGAAAATCCTAGAGCAGCAAGAGTGGTGCGCAGCGTGTCGTGCCACTCACGGGGCGCCTGGCGGAGACCGTAGACTGGTCGCCTCAGGCTCCACTGGGTCCCAGACAGGTAAGTACTAGTGAAGTCAGGAGGACGGCGCAGCTAGATCTCCTCGTGCAGGCTGCCCTTGAGAAAGGCGGTGGAGAAGTCGAGGGAGTGCAGCTCGTAGTCTCGCTGTGCTGCAACGTGAAGTAACACCCGAAGAGTAGTCATCTTCGGGATCAGTGCGAAAGTCTGAAAAAAAGTCAACTTCCTCTCGCTGACTGAAGCCTCTAGCCACGTAGCATGCCTTGAAGACATGCAGTGATTCCGGTGGCGGCTTTACCTTGAAGTTCCACATGGCGTCGACTATGTTCGCCCCAGGTGGGGGAACTGCGTCAACGCACATGCCCGTGGATTTCCAAGGCGCCATCTTTGCCTCCATGGCCGCTATCCACTTAGAGGCCCACCGCCTTGACACTGCTTCACGGTACGTGCGAGTAGTCGGTATGTCAAGGGCGTCGAGGTCTGCCTCAGGGGCTAGCAGGATGGCAGAGAGATGGGGACAAGCAGCTGCCAAGAGCTGAAACAGACAGCGGAGAGGCTCTAAGGTCGTCCTAGAGGGCAGGCAGTTTGAGCTGGAGACAAGAGCCGAAAATGACGACGGAGAGGCCAAGGGCAGACTCACCCCGGACGGACAGAGGACGGGCGGCCACCACATGGGTGGCGTAGTCAAGGCGGCAAGTGGCGGCAAAGTCAGCCACAGCGGCAGTAAGAGCCAAAACAGACGACGGAGAGGCTCTAGGGCCCATGACTAAAAAGGCGAAAACACAGGTGACAACAGGGCGGGTGGCACGGTAGTAATCAGTGATAGGGGTAGCGGTGGAGGCTGTAAGAGGCGACTTAGGAGGTGACAGGAGAACAGACTGAGGCGGAGAACGTCAAGGACTGAGGTGTCAGGAGTATGACAGTGCGGAGGTCGTCAAAAGGAGACGAGGGATGAGCACGAGCGGGACAGCAAACTGTCCAGTCGTGTGGGACAACAGGAGGAGGCAAATGTGACCTAGAAGGAGAGAAAACCGCTGGAGACGAGTCTGGTGGGGGAAATGTAGGACCGTAAGCAGGAGGAGAAAGAGCGCGGTCCGAAGGAGGGGAAGGAAGACCAAGGGTCCGAAGGCCACTCTCAAGTGGAGACAACTGCTGCAAAGGTGGCTGCTCCGGCTGCTGCTGCTGCTGCTGCTGCGCCAGCCTCTTCTGCTCCAACCGCGCCTGCTGCTCTCGCTCCAGCCGTCGATGCTCCTGGAGACGGGTCGGGTAGCGGTGGGGGGGGGGGGGGGGGGGGGGGGGAGTAGGTGCCGCAGAAGTAGCGCCTCCAGCTCCACCTCCCTCAGAACTAGCACCTCCAGTGCCAGTATCGACGACTCCAACACCCCCAGGACCAGCACTCCCTGAACTGGCACCCCCAGGGCCAACACCGACAGCTCCAGCACCCCCAGTGTCAACGTCTCCAGCTCCAACAGCCCCAACCCAAGCACGTCCAGTGCTAGTACCCTCAGCTCCAGCACCCCCAAAACTAGCACCTCGAGTACCCTCAGCTCCAGCAACCCCAGGAACTAGCACCTCCAGTGCCAGTACCTTCAGCCCTAACACCCTCAGAGCTTGCACCTCCAACGCTAGTACCCTCAACACCCACACTCCCAGAGTCTACTGCAACCTGTCGCGGTAGTGTCGAAGGCTGCTGCGGTGACTATGAGGATGACTGTGGGGAGGGACACGGTAACTAACGTGCTATTGAGGGAGGAGGGGTAGCTTGGGACACACCAGGCAGGGCAAGACCAAGGGGGGGGGGGGGGGGGGGGGGGGGGGGGGGGGTGTACCGGAGGAGCGGGAGCAGGAGGAGAAGGGGCGAGAAAAAGGGGAGGGGGGGGGACTGGCAGACCTCGACAGGGGTACCGGGTATAGTAGGACACTGACCTGTCAAAGGTGACGTCACGAGAGTCGAAGAAACGGTGGAGGGGCGGATGGTAAGAAGTGTAGTCAGAGGAGTCCACCGGGAAAACAAGGAAGACGCAAAGGATGGCGCGAGCAGAGAGCTTGTCCGCAGAGGTGTCGCGGACAAGCGCAAGGTAGTCCCAGACACGAAACTCCGACGCAACACTAGGGGACCTGGTTCAAAGACTGGTCGGTGATGCCTCTGGCCGTGAGACACGAGGCCAAAGGTCAGCTGGTGGGCGGCGTAGTGAACCGCGTAGGGCCACAGAAAATGGGGCGCACAGGTGTGAGGACCATGGACGTACGGGCGATCTCCATGACCAAGCCTATGCGGCGCTTAGCAACCCCATTCTGTTGTGGGGACTCTGGAAGCGTCCAAGACTGGAGGGTGCCTTGCTAGCGACAGAATCCGGCAAGATGCCAGAAAGAAACTCGCCCCTACGGTCAGACTGGAGACAACTGACACGACAGCCACAAGTGCAAACAGTGGCCAGCAACCACCGGATCAGCGTAGAAGTCACGTTGGACTCCCTCGCCAAGGGGAACGCGGTGGTGTAGCGGGAGTAGTCGTCAACGACCACCAGAAAGAAGCTCTCTGTCTCGGGCCCAGGGCGGGGGGCGGGGCCCCAGACGTCCAAGTGGAGAGTCTCGAAGGGTACGGTGGCCTGATGAAGGGAGGAGGAGTGAGGAGTGGCGCGCAGCCGACCCTGGACACAAGGAGTGCACGTCAGCGCAGGCGAGGGAGGGAGCGACAGAAAGACACGCGGGAGACCTGAGACAAGATGCTGGCTAGCCATGTTGCGGAGGCATGGGAAGGACGGGTGACCAAGTCGGTGGTGCCAGAGGACGGTGGGGTGGGCTAGCGACTGACACGAGCACGACGCAGCAACCTGACCGGGCGCAGCTACCTGACTAGACGCAGCAACCTGGCCAGACGCGGCTACCTGGGTAGAGTCAGTATGCTCCCAGTGAAACTCGGCCAGCGGAGCATAGGCGTCACCGTCCACGCAGGTCCCGCTCAGAAGGAGGAAATTAGATGCCGACGTGGCGGTCCTGAAGGTATCCAACACCAACCAAGTTCAGAGAGCACGAGGGGATGTGGAGACCAGAGAGAACACCAGAAGGGACAACCGGGCACGGAAGAGTGGTTGTGCTACATGCAACTGCTGGTCCAGAAGTAGGATCAGCCAGTGCAAATGAAACCGGAGCAGAAAGCGAAGTGAGAGACGTGTGGTCACGGAAAAAGAACTGAGAGGCGCCAGAGT